ACCTTGCCACACAAACCCAACACACCCGTTCGGAAGAATTCTTTTAGTTACTGTAGAATACAAGGCTCCTCCCAGGCGGGTCCCTGTCAGCAGGTTTAGCAGACTGGGCTCAAAAGCCCAGTTAGTGTGAGAACTTGGTAATCCCTAGGGAAGAAATTGATGATTTTAAGATCCATAGCTTTGGAAAGAGGGATTTTATAGATATATTTCTCTTATAAATTGGCAGGCAGATGGGAAGATGAGGGAATGAAATTACACAAGGAATTGAACAGTCTGGAAGGGAAGCTGTTTAATATCTCATTAGGAAAAGTAGTTAAATACTATCCCCACTCTTCCCTGCCCCTCCAAAACCTCCTTTGACATGGATTTATGGATGGTTTTGTCTTGGCCAGGCACTAATCAGTTCCAGTAACACACGTATTTTTATTTCCAAAGGACTATTCTTAAAGACAGCAGGTTTTTCCGGTACTTGCACACGGCTGTGATAGTGAGTGGAACCATGCTGGTGTTTGGAGGCAACACGCACAACGACACTTCCATGAGCCATGGTGCCAAGTGCTTTTCTGCAGATTTTATGGCCTACGATATCGGTAAGTTCTTGCAGAAACAATAATAAACGTTCTTGGATATTCAAATGGCGCTGTCTTCAAGGAGACTAATTTACATTCTGGGTTTATTATACCAAATCCTCCTGTAGAAGAATGTGTAATCAGGAGAGGCTCATCTAGCTTGCTGCACATTACCAACCAAATGAGCTGATGCAGTGATTCCTAGGGAAATACAGCAGCAGTTATTTGGGCAACAGTTTATACACATACACCTTGGGCATTAAAAACTGTTTCGTAAGTGGGAAGCATATTGTTCTACCATCTCGACCATGAAGCTATCCTGATTTTTTCGAGTTTCAATCTATGGTTTATCAAAAAAGCAGGATGTTAGGACAGTTAGAAGCACTGGACCCTGCTAAAACTCAAGTTGTGTGTTGCACACTCTTGTTTTAACTGCAGGGGTCTGACTCGTTTGGCTGTGCTGCCTGTAGTGACAGTTTGTCGATACCTACACTGTATGAGCATAAACATCCCCATAAGCACTGTCTGGGAGGATTGGGCTGTGATCAGTTCAAATAGCCAGCAGAGGGCAGCATTTGTTTTCCAATTTGGAGTCTAGAGACGATGCATTTAAGAACAAGAAAAGAGGTTGAATTATCGAAGAGAAGGTGCGTGCACACCCGGATAATTCATGCTGGAGAAAAACCACTCTGCACTTACGTAGCATTGTGCCTTCTGCTCTCAGCGTTCTCTAAATGTGGGATCTCATCACTGATCCCCTAAAATGATCACATAAACCAGAATTTTTGGTGTCATTATCCAGTGAGGTGTCACTTTCAGTGTGTGTCAGGAACACGCAGGCGCATGGGTTGCTGTCCACAGCAGGGTTTGGCTTCCTCATGCCGTTTTGTTACAAGAATCACTCCCTTCTGCTTCCTGAGACTTCCAGTCATAGCCCTGGGGAGTTTGTTGTGTGCTCCTTGCTAGCTTTATTTTGGCTTCTTTTTTTCTTGAATATTTAAACCGAGGAGTTTTGACAGACTAGGGCAGAGCAATATTTTATACTGGGATAGTAATAGCGATAGATTTTTCTCACTACATTTTTGCCATCTTCCCTGACCCATTTGACCCATAGGTATAAAGCCAAAGTGCATTAATTTGACAAATTCTGTCCATAGGCATGTTAATTTTGATTCATTTTAGTTGACAAGCAGGTTCCTGTTAGATGAAATAAGTCATATTGTAGTCAGCTTGCCCAGTCCTGACCAGTTTTACACTGGAATTAGAGCTTGCACTGCTTGCACTGCACATGACAGGGGTGAGAGGTGTTCTGGTGCTCTTGGGCACCTTCATTCCGTAGGGCAGAGGCTCAGCCTGGAAAGAGCAGAGTTTTTTTTCCAAGAAAAAACCCACCTTTTCTATTTTTTTTTTTTTCATGGCAGGACACCCTATGCATGACTTGCCTTATGCCTTTGGACCAGGAGCACTGCCAGGAATACGTTAGGGTGCTGGCGGATCATTAGTGTCCCAGCAGAGACACCTACTTGGGGGTTCTCTGTGTGTGATCCCTGCAGTGACGACATGGATCATATTCGTGTCGGTCTCCATGGAGATAAGCCCCTGTACTCTAACTATCAGAGATGGTTGTGGCCACGCCGCCACAGATGGATGTGGCTGTCACATCTTTAACAAACACACAAGCATGCTAATATTCTCTATCTCTTGATTATCCCAAGTCTGGGGCGGCTCGGGAGAAAGCCAGGCAGAAAGGTCAGTAGATCCTGAGTGCTTTCAGAGAAGAGGCTTAGTAATTGGCTATCTCAATCCCTGCTTTTATAGTCTACTGCCTGTCTAATTGGCTCATTTTTAACATCCTGTTGATGAAGGTGATATCTCAGTGATCATAGCGATGGTTGCAGGACTGGAGACAACTCAAATTAAAATGCAGTCCAAAATAAAGGCTTCAAACCCAAGTTTTCTCTTTTGATCTTTGCCATCAAAATGTACTTCTGCAGTAATTTACCTTGTCAAATTTCAAAGCGATCTGACCACAAGCTTGGAGTGTTGTGAGGACAATAGCATCTTCCGATTCTTTGTGTGTCGGGTGCAAACAGATGTCCCCGAGCTGTGTGCTGAGAGTCGTGGGAGGTTTAGCTGATTAGGTCAATCTGAGGATGCATTAATGCTTCTCATCCCTACATCCTCCACTTGACCAGGCTGGGGCTTACACAGTCCGAATTGTCCAGGCAGTGCCTGGTTTGGGAGGTTTCAGGATGGTGACCCAGCTGTCTGTGTGCACGTGCTTTTCTTGGTGCTTCTCAGGACAAGCTTTTGGATGTGTTCAGGTTGGGTGAGCACTTAGGTAGAGCTGGCTCACGGTATTTTTTCCTGCTTTTTGCATGCTTGTTAGCATTTCCTATTCCCAAAATCATGCTCTTTAGAGAAGAGTTTCCTGATCTGCAGTGTTTTTGTGCCTGGGTGGACAAATGCTTCTCTTGAATCCTCTACCTCCTCCTCTCAACAGTTCAGAGCACTGACGGAGCCCGTTGTGAGTTGCAGCCCTTCCGTGGCTGTATGTTCTTCTCCAGGAGGGAAAGACAAAGGTTATGCTTTCCAAAGGGTCATGCCCCTTGCATGTGGGATGTATCTAAAACAAGGATGGAAACTTTGCCTGCAGACTGCCTCAGAATGCAGTTACTGTGGTTTAAGTAACCATTCTTGGTCATTCCTAAATAAGCTTTAACTTGATGTTCTTTTAAAAATCAGCACGCAATGATCATGTAATGGTCTTTTCTTCCCACGGGAGAGAAATGAGAACTCTTCTATTTACCCCATCAAAAATTCAGCTCTGATAGCAAACACTGAAGGGGGTTCTCCGTTAACCATAGCATGTGTGTTCTGCTTGAGTAGGGTGTTTAATCAATCCTGTGCATTGTAAGTTTTAGGCTCAGCTTAACTCCTGAGTCAGGGTGGAGAGGTTTCTTGGTATTTTCAGAGTCATTTTTTTCAATGCTTGATCTTCAGTTAAAGATGGAAAAGCAGCTTAGAAAGCAAAACATTCCAGACCTTCTATTAATCTAGAAAAATATGTTTCTTGGCCTCACATAACTCACAACTTAGTGGATAAAAAATTGCAAATTGCTGTCCAATTCTGCTGAAGTCTCCTGTTAAAAATGGGAGCCATGGATGCTTCTTTCAGGAAGGATGCAGTGCTAGGGTGAAGTCTTTGAAAATCCAGCAAATGACCTTTAAAAATGAACTTCAAAATCATGATCTCCCCATGTATTAAATCTAACCAAGTGATCCCATGTCTTATTTATCAGTGCCCATGAACAGAGGTTCCGGTGGGAGCGAGGTTGGGATCAGGTGTCTTACCCGACGGTTCTCCAGTCAAGTTTGGTATAAAATTAATAACGATGTTTTTCCTTGCCCTCTCAGTTTATCTACATACTAGGTTGGGTTCGTGGGCTGTTTTTCCCAGAGGCTCCACAGTTTTGTCTTGTATTAAAGAATCCTCTAGCATTTGAGGGCTCTGTAGATCTTAACAGCAGATTGACTGTCTGTCTTAGTTGCAGAAATGGCACGCAGCTGCCTCGGGGCCTTTAGCCCTGGGGTGATCCCGGTCGCTTTGCCAAGTTTAAGGGACATGCTTTGGTCTGACTTTTCCTGCGTTTGTTCTGTTGATTGCTCAGTGGGTTACATGTTTCTTAGGTTGTTTTTTCATGCTGCCTAAAGGAAGAAATTACCTGAGAAACTGAGTAAAAAATGAAGCAGAACTGAGGAATGTTATGCTAATAGAAAAAGATGGAATAATCTCATACTATATTAAAAGAGAAAAACAACCACAAATCCTTAAGCTGTGATGAGTGAAAAATATGTTTAAAAACACGGATATCTACCCTCTGGGAACCTAACTGCAATGGGGAAAAAAAGAAAGAAGATAAGTCTCTGTTCTCAGTGATGCTGGTTTTGGGCAAAACTAAAAATAATTCATATATAAACAGATAAAACCTGAACTTGTTAAAGAGTGAAGAACTCCCCTGGTAAGGGAGAAGAAGCAGCTCAAGCCACCACCATTTAATTGCTTGTGATTGCTCAAGACCCTCATAACCCCTTCAGCACATTGCCTCAAAACTTGACTTTTTCTTGAACTGTTCAGATGGTGGAGCAGAGCCCTGACATCCTCCCTTTCGTTTTTTTTGCCATTCCGAGGCAGCTGGGGTGAAGACTAAGTCTTAAATCTTGCAGAGGAAATTAACCCCGTTCCACTCAAGGTTTATGGAGTGGTGGGAATGGTCTCTAGTTATTGAAGTACTTTGGGATTTTTCAGTCAGGAGTGTGCTCCCTAAATTGAGTCGTTAATTATGCTGAGAACTTTTTCCTTAATCCTAGCTTGTGATCACTGGTCTGTGCTTCCTCGCCCGGGTCTCCATCACGACGTGAACAGGTTTGGGCATTCCGCCGTGCTGTACAACAGGTGAGCTTGCAAACACCCAGGGATGTGGGTGGTTGGTCGTACCTCAGACCCAAGTATGTTGGTATATGTAGATCAGGAACCCTGGGACCAAGGGGTTGAGGATCTGTTGCGAAGCTCTCAAAGTTCTTGGATCTTCGCTTATGTAATGTCTTCGGTATCCAATGTTCCTGTCAGCCCTGTCTCGAAAAACTCCCTGGCTGCGTACTCGCTGCAGCGCGTACTGAATACCAGCCCTGTGTTTGCTTCCATGAAGGACAGCTTAACCTGTGCGTTAGTTCTTCTTTTAATCCTAAAATAGGATGAAAACAATATTTATTATTCAACCAAAACTTTGATTTTCAGTTGTGTTGTGTCTTCTTCACTGTCTTTAGGTGTGGATTTACAAACATGGACTCACAAGGGGCTTTGGGTGGCATTTTTGTGTAACTGATGAAGTTTGATGTTTTGCCTGAAGCAGGTGTGATGCTAAAGGTTTTCAAAACACCATTTTGCCTGAAGCAGGTGTGATGCTAAAGAAGGTTTTCAAAACACCGCCCAAAACATATTTTTTTGCTTTGGGGCTTGTTTGGTGTTTCAGTTGACACAGTGACTCTGCTGAGTTGCTAACAGCTGCGCAAATAGCTGTGCTTTTGTCATGGTGCTGTGGCGGGATGTGACAACACTGAATTGTTCTGTCACAGCTCCTGAATGCCGGTTTAATGGTGCGATGTTGTCTCCCTCATTTTTTTAGCCTTCCTCCCTTCCTTGCCATTGCTCTTTACAGGAGGATCCCAGATTTCTGCAGCATCTCATGGGTAGTCGTGTTGATTGGGTGTTACCCAGGGTTCTGGCTGAAGGGGCAGGTCCGTGCCCCCGGGATGGTTTGACTTTGTGTTAACACCAATGTGTTGAGATTCTCTGGCTTCTCTGACACAGTGAAACTTGACTGACGTTTTCTTTAGTGCCTTCCTTAACCAAGAGCTATTTATTTGCATTTATACACTCTGGAATGTAATCAAACACCTTGCTCACACCCTGAATCGAACCAACCTGCAGCGGTGCATGGTCTGTAAGCATGGGCAGGAATACTGATCTCTCTACTTGCACTTTGTCTAGCACCATGTATGTATTTGGAGGCTTCAACAGCCTCCTCCTGAGTGACATACTGAAGTACACCCCTGAGAGATGCGAAGCCTTTGACAATGAGACGGCCTGCTTGCGGGCAGGTCCGGGCGTGAGATGCGTGTGGGCCACCACCCCTCCCCACTGCATCCCCTGGGAAATGGCCGTGGCAGAGCAGCAGCAGAAGGTCTTTGAGGACTGCCCTCCCAAGCCAGGTATGTGTCACGTTCTTTCCAGTTCCCCTTCCCAAAGCCTGTAGGGTCTATTGCTTTCCCCAGTTTTGTCTTGCCTTAGTTGTGTGCTGTTACCAGCTCAGGTTTAGGATGGGTGGGCTGTAGTTGTGCCTCCAGACGTGCCCTGGGAGATCTTCCTCTGGCCAAGTGGCTGCAGCACTGTGGAGATGTTTCCATCTCTCACGTCCTTAGAAGCTTCTTGCTCATTATATTCCCCCCCCTACTGTGCTACTTGTACTTATTTCCCTATCCCAGACAGATGTCATCAGTCAGGAATCAGTGTAGACCATTCCCTGTAGATGTTTGCTCTTAAGAGCTGACCTCTTGAGAGCCAGAAATTGGCTGATGAGCACCACGAGGCGAGGAGTGGGCCTGGGTTGTGGTGTTACCCTGTGGTCATCAAGAGGGATAGCAGGAAGGGTGTTTTAAGTGAACAGGTTTTTAAGGGTGTTTGAGTTAATTTAATTCTCCTTCTGTGGTGTTGCATGGATAAGGGCATACAAAAAGAATGTTTGTTTTACGGTCTAATTCCTTTGTTCTCCCTTATGAAAATTCTTAAACAACTTTTCAGTGCTTTATCCCGCTGCATTCGTTGCTCTGAATTGAATTATCCCAACTCTGGTTCTGTAATAGATGGCACCTTTCGCTATTTAAGAGAAATGGATGTAAGGGGCATTGCTTTGATGGGCGCTCAGTGTACGATGAATTTTCACCAAACACAGGCGACAAGCAGTTGGAAAGTCGAAGTGGGAAGTTCAAGCTTTGCATGGAAATGCTCCACGTAATCGAAGGCCAGGCATGCAGAAGATGGGCCTGGGGTGGGAGACGTTCACCCTCCTGGTGAAATGTCCTCTGGCATCATTTGCACGGAACACGCATGCCCAGTCTTAGTTCACGCACTTCCATGCCTTGGTACATTTCTGGTGGTGGGTTTGATGGCTCCTTGGGCACCACACGTGATTGATGCTGCAAATGAATGCGCTTTTCTATCTGTTCAGTCCCGTGAAAGGATTTGATTTACTAAGTAGTCGATAATGGAAATCTACAGCACTACTGTTGGGTGATATCTTTTGCTGTATATAATCAAGTTCTTAGAGCTCTGTCAGGAAATGCCTGTTTTTGGTCATGCAGGTTTTTTTCTTTAATAGTTGTAGACAATGAAAAATGTGATCAGATTACAGACTGCTATAGCTGTACAGCAAATACAAACAACTGCCAATGGTGCGCTGACCAGTGTGTCTCACTGCATAACAACTGCACAGAGGAACAGGTAAAGTCTCTCTAACTCTTCCGTAGTTGTAATTTAGCCTCTGAAATATCAGACGCCCTCCATTTGTCGCTATTATGCCCCTGTTGTTCTGTTATTTCCAGTGCATGTCTAGCTGTAAACTGCTAACGAATTTTTATCGAGTTGGTCCAAGGACAAGAGGAAACTGCCTCAAGTTGCGCCAAAGGACGTTTTGGTCGGGAACTCTGGAAAATGTATTCCCAGAAAGGGCTGTTAGGCACTGGAAGGGGCTGCCCAGGGAGGTGGTGGAGTTCCCATCCTGGGAGGGATTTAAGACCTGTGTGGATGAGGTTCTCAGGGACATGGGTTAGTGGTGGGCTTGGCAGTGCTGGGTTAAGGGTTGGAGCTGATGATCTTAAAGGTCTTTCCTCACTTGAAGGATTCTGTGATAAATGGGTTTACCATCAGTGACGGGCAGTGGTTCTCAGGAATTTCCCAAGAAGCACCAGATTCTGTGATTCTGAGGCGCTTCTCATGGGATGTGGGTCAGGAGGATGGTGCTGGGCAGGGGAAAAGGAGGTGTGATTTTTCACTGAGGCACACAGACATCTGGCTTTGCTATCAATAGAGCCCTGCCAGCATGAAAATCCTAAACCTTTTGTAGAAGCTGTAGTAAGGAACATATCAGATGGTGGCCAGGGGAGTAGCCTGGGTACGCAGCACAGGCTGTGTCCAGTGTCACAGCTTTTGAGCAGAGGCTGCTGTCTAGGTTCTGAACTCTGAAGTTCAGTGTAATAGTCATGGCTGTTACAGTCCGACACGGGTGGGAAGCAGCCTCATCTGTGCTGTTTTTTTAGGTTCCGATAACTGTGTATGACAACTGTCCGAAGGATAACCCTGCCTATTACTGTAACAAAAAGACAAGCTGTAAAAGCTGTGCCATGGATCAGAACTGTCAGTGGGAACCGAGGAATCAGGAGTGCATCGCTTTGCCAGGTGGGTGTTGGTTGTACCTGTGAAAGAATAATCCCACTTCTACCAAGTCCAAAAGGAGAAGTGTGAGTTTTTTTCTTTTTACCCCCAAATCTGTGATCTCGTAGTGCTAAGCCACAGTAAATCATGTTGTTTAAGCATGCCAGCTTCAGTATGACACTTTATTTCTAGTAAATTCAGAAAATCTGATGGAATATGTTGGAGTCCCAGTTGTCTGAAGAGGAGTATGGTCATTTGTGTAATTATTAGGCTGTGCTTCATCTCTTTCTTTTCATTTGATAAAAGCAGTACTGCTGCTAGAATCAGCTTCTGCAAGGTATTAGGTTTAATAATGCATGCTATTTAATTTGAGAAACTAGACTCGCTCAGAAGCGTAATGGCACATGCTGGACAAATGAGGCAAATAGCCCCTGAAGTGTGCAAGGAGAACTCTCTTTTTAGAGCATTTCCAGTGGGAGCTCACAGGAGTTGGTCACCAGTCCCCATCTAGTAATGTGGGTTTTTTCCCAGGGATGGGGAGAGAAGAACAGCATCTTCAGTGACTGACATTTGCAGTTAATAAAACAGAGAGAGAAAGCCACCACAGACAGAGCTTTAAATGGGCACGGGAAGCCTTCTCCTGCTAATGTGGATAGGTCTGGATGTGTCTGTGTCTGGGGTTTGCGAGTCTGGAAGAGCAGAAAAATGAAAAGACTTCAAAGAAGAGCCACGAGAGTGAGAAAAACAACTTTTAATGAGACAGATGAAGGTCTTGGTCCATTTAATTTGCTGGGGAGAAGGGGGTGACTTGATGTTGTGTGTAAAAAGCCCATCTGTGAGACCGACGCTTTAGGGTAGATGATCCTAAACCAGGGTGTCGGAGCTGGGCATCAGTTCTCCCAGAAGTTCACGCAGAAAATGTCCATCAGGTGGTTTTGTCAGGATAGCTGTGTGTGGGGGGAGTAATTCCCACCAAGTAGAAGAGTTCTTCAGTAGTGGGATTGAACCTGGAAGTTGGGTGCTGTGGACAGGATTAGTGCTAACGACTGAGGTGGAATAAGTGGCGTTAAGCCATCAACACAATGCTCGTTGGCTTTCCTTTGCTCTCATTCTGCAATGATGGTATTATTGGCTGTCGTAGTAAGTGCTTTGACCGCCTACTGCAGATAACTACAGGGTGATGGCGCACTCCAGCTCCCCTTAACAGCTTTCCTTATCCTCTGGCGTTTTTATCGGCGGGTACCTCTGCACATGCCCGTGAGTCCTGGTAGTTTGGGATGAGGCTGTAGGTTTTAGACTGGTGGAAGAGCTCTTCACTGCTTTGAACGTTGGGAAGGTCACTTGCATCGCTGGTTTTACTTTCTCTCTCTACCCTCCCCTCCCCCCAGAGAATATCTGTGGAACAAACTGGCACTTGGTTGGCAACTCCTGCTTGAAAATCACGAACGCAAAGGAGAACTATGATCATGCCAAACTGTCCTGCAGATCCAGTGGTGCTCTGCTGGCTTCTCTCACGACCCAGAAGAAGGTGGAATTTGTGCTGAAGGAGCTGCACAAGTTGCAGTCTTCGGTGAGTGCTTTGTTTTTATGTCCCCTGAGTCATTAGGCTCTGGGGAAGTCCTTGCTGGGGTATTGTGTGCTCTGTTCAGAACAGACATGCCCCTTCACCGAAAGGGACTGATTTGCCTTTTGAAATTCAACACACCCTCTGGGTGCTTTTGAAATGGAATTGTAGAGAATGTAAATGGGAAAGATAAATATAAATATCCACTGTGCCTCAAAGGTATGACTGTCTGCGATGAAATCCCACGCACATCTCTTGTGGGATACACGGCTGCAGCAGGAGCCCTCTCCCACCTGGGACACAGTATTTTATAAATAAGGGGCCCTTTGGGGCACTGGTGGTGTTTACTGTAAAACATTTGAAGTTATTTATTCTGCTCAGACTGTTTAAAATGTTGGCTTCTTGCTCCGTAGAGCCGCTTGGCTTATTTGGAGCCAGTTATGTTTGATTTAGTGGCAGGTGCTTTTCTGCTGGAGCAGGTGAGGAGTGAATTGGAATCCATCCCTCTTCACTCACCAATAAAATAAAATAAATACACGCCTTCTCCCGGCCCTGGCAGACGTGCGGAGGTGTTCCGGGCCGGTTGTGTAGGTGGTGCTAAAGCCTCGACGAGCAGTGATGCTGCATGGCTTGGCCCAAATCCCCGCTCGGGCTGTGGGGCTGTTGTGGCCTAATGGCACCTGGAGGGAGCTCCTCTGGGTCCCAGGGGACTGCAGGGGAGAGTGTTATGTAGGGCAAATGAGCCTGGAAGCACTGGGGTGGCTCCTTTTCCGGGAACGTATGGTAGTACTCGAGAAATATTTTGCCGTTGAACACATTCCCTGCTTTAATTCCCACTGGAGTTTTAAAGTGGCATTGTAACAATCAGGGGTTTTAGAGAGGGTCCAATTTACCCAAGAAAAGGTAAGGTGCAGTTCAGATGAGATTGTCGGTTCAGCCCTTTGTAAAAAGAGGAAGCCAAGGCCGGGATGTTATATGAGTATGTGGTTTGAATGGCTCAAGTTGTTACTGGATACACCAGTGCTGAAGTGTAGTGTAAATCCCTAAGAGGCATAGCAACGCTTCCCTAACAGCACTAGAACCCTTACATTGAGGAGAAATAAATGTTAATTTTACATGGCTTTTTAACCTCTATGGTCTCCTTGAAAAAGTAAGCCTTGGAAATCTGGAGAGACTTAGCCCTTTTAGTGGATATCAGCACGGAGTGCTTGCAGTGTGGGAAAATGCCCTTGCTGAAGAGCCAGCCTGTATTGGGTCCCTGAACTTTGCCATTCAGTGGCATGCCCTGCTGGGCTGGGGAGGCTGCACCTCCCCATCACCCCTTTTTCTTAAGTAAGCTGTGGACAGATGCTTTATAATAATAAGAAAGTACATTGCCGTGTAACCCTGTGGCTGTTGAGTTGCAGCTCTGAGAGCTTAAGAGTGTGTAAAATCAGTTTGAAGTAGGTGATGGTTGTATATAGTAGTAAGGAGAGACGTATGGTCTGAAGCTTTCCTAGGACAGCCGTGCCACCGAGGCGTTTTGATGGAGAAGAAGTTTTAACAGTAGCGTAACATACTGTACCAATACAGTTCAAGTGCCTCTCCCCAAAATAAGTGTGCCAAAACATAAATTGCCAGCAGAAATGCTTGTGTTATGGGTTCTTCGTGTTGAGAATTTTACTGCTGGCAATGCTGATTTAGATTTGACCTGCTGTCTCTCTCCATCCCTCCAAATATACATAGTCTTAAACAGCACAAGTCTCTAGCCAGACTGCAGAGTAGGTAGGGTGTATCGTTTAAATGGCACAGGGGACTGCTAACTTCCTTCCTCCTGTCAAATGGTAGCTCCAGAAGTGTTTTTGCTGCGTCTAGACATTTATAGGAGTCGCAAACATAGAGTATCCTGCAGTTAATGTCATAGCCAGCCAGGGTGAATGTTTGCCTTGTTCTCCTCCTGGTTCAGATAACTAGAAATGCAGTTTGAAAATAAAGGATAGTTGGTGGTTTCCCAAACAATTTCTCTCTCTCTGTGGCGTTTCATTCTGATACCACTGAGAAACAAACTCTTCCCTTATTACATTTCTGCAACACCTAACCTGGCAAAGTTACCACCACTACATGATAGCAGCTGATGTCATCTACCTGGACTTGTGCAAAGCCTTCGATACTGTCCCACGTGACATCCTTGTCTCGAAACTGGAGAGACATGGATTTGACGGATCACCTCTCCTATGAAGAAAGGCTGAGAGAGTTGGGCTTATTCAGCCTGGAGAAGAGAAGGCTCCGGGGAGACCTTATAGCACCTTCCAGTGCCTGAAGGGGCTACAAGGAAGCTGGGGGGGACTTTTTACAAGGACCTGTAGTGACAGGACAAGGGGTAACGGGTTTAAATTGAAAGTGGGGAGGGTTAGATTAGATATCAGGAAGAAATTCTTCCCGGCGAGGGTGGGGAGGCACTGGCACAGGTTGCCCAGAGAAGCTGTGGCTGCCCCATCCCTGGAAGTGTCCAAGGCCAGGCTGGATGAGGTTTGGAGCAACCTGGTCTAGTGGAAGGGGTCCCTGTCCATGGCAGGGGGGTTGGAACTAGATGATCTTTAAGATCCCTTCCAACTCAAACAATTCTATGATTCTATATATATTTTTGTTTAATACCCAAAGTAATAAAACTGGGTATTAAATACCCCATTTTGCTTTGTTTCTAGCCCAAAACTTTGACTCCGTGGGTTGGACTGAGGAAAATCAACGTGTCGTATTGGTGCTGGGAAGACATGTCTCCCTTCACCAACACCCTGCTCCAGTGGCTTCCTGATGAACCCAGTGATGCCGGATTTTGTGGGTACTTAGCCGAGCCTTTCCAGCAGGGACTGAAGGCAGCAACCTGTATCAACGAGGTCAACGGCAGTGTCTGCGAAAGGCCAGGTAACGCTGTCTGAGTGGGATGTCCTGTGGGGAGCACGTTGGCTAAGGAGCATTTCTATTTCCTGGACAATAGAGGGTCCCATTCCTTACATTCAGAACTGGGTACATCGTGACTTTCCCAAAGAAAAGTAGTTCTGAAAAAGGGTCTTGTGTCAGTATTTCGTGCAGGAATCAGAGTTGTTTTAAAAAAAGCACTGCATTTACTCTGTTACCTGTAAAATACCTGCGGTACATTATAGTTTAAGTCTTTTTCTCTAAATTGTATACCTGAATGTGACATTTAGGTTAATTATGGTACAGAGCAATCTCCTGTTTGAAAAAAAAAATTGAAGAATTAAAGCTACTTTCCAATTGAACTCCCCTTCCTCCCCTCCCCTGCTCCATAGCCAGAGGAGGATTTTATCAAAGTTTAAGATTAATTGGGCAAGACACTTCTTGAGATATGAGAACTCTGAAAAAGAAGCTATTTGCTTCTGGGAAAACTCTTCTGGCATTGTGGGAAGTGCCTTTCTTTCCAAAAGGCTTGGTCTGCTAACTGTCTGTTAGGGCTGATTATTTCTGACTGCCAATTAGTACCTCTGTAAGTGTTAAGAAAGGTGGTTGATTACATAAAATGTCTAAATAAGCTGCACCCCTTTAAATCCCTCTTTGTGAAAGTACAGGGTGCGGGTCAGTAATGTGGCACCTGCCCTCAGAATGTTGTGTGTTTTAACCTGCAGCACGGCGAGTTGGCTTGGGCTGTCACATGTTTTATGGGCTGAGAGTAGCCCCTTGAAGCAGCTGCTAGAGCAGAGGCTCACATCAGAAACTCCCAAGTTAGTTCTGCTTTAACACTTGTTTTATATGTGCAACTGGTCAGATAACCTAACGCGTGTCCCAGGGCGCCCACATGAAATTGGGGGGCTTCTTCCCAACGCTCGGGTTGGGTGGATGTTCAAGGAACGTCAACAGAGCACATTCATAGCACTGTTTAAATTGGTTTTAAGGTGGATGGATGCCTTAAAAAGGGTCAAGACTCATGAAGGACACATAATAAGGAAATAAGTTCACAGTGGTCAGCTGGTGTAAGATACCAGTGACACCATGCCACAAACGAGGCGTTGCAAGTTGGTGGGACTGAACTGTTTCTCAGTCTGAGCGATAGGCAGGGCTTTTCACCTTCTGTCTCTCGATTTTGGGGACCTTGACCTGTTTCTGGAAGCCAGCTGACTTGTGTCCCCCTCCCGCAGCTAACCACAGTGCCAAGCAGTGCCGCACGCCCTGCGCCCTGCGGACGGTGTGCGGGGAGTGCACGAGTGGCAGCTCCGAGTGCATGTGGTGCAGCAACATGAAACAGTGCGTGGACTCCAACGCGTACGTGGCCTCCTTCCCCTATGGGCAGTGCATGGAGTGGTACACCATGAGCAGCTGTCCGCGTGAGTATCTGCTGCTGGCCGGGTGGGTGGGCTCGGGTCTTGCGCTTGCTGACGTCTGCTAGCAAAGTTATCAAACGGCCCTTCGGTCATACCGTCCAGGGGTTTTCCAGATGTGCATGTGACTGACTTCTCTTTGTATCTCTGCTGCATTCTTTTATTCATGTATGAAGACATGTAATTTGGTATTAGATTGTACTGGTGAGGTCACACCTTGAATCCTGGGGTCAGTTTTGGCCCCTCGCTGCAAGGAAGACACTGGAGGCCTGGAATGTGTGTGGAGAAGGGAATGGAGCTGGGGAAGGGTCTGGAGCACAGTGCCTGTCAGGAGCAGCTGAGGGAGCTGGGGGGTTCAGCCTGGAGACGAGACA